GGGAGTTGAGCAACAATTGGGGTTACTCCGCTTTGGTGCACCCTGCCATTGCTGTCCTGTGTTGGTGTGTCGTCAGGCTCATTTCTCTATGAAGACCACCGGAAAAGAGACTGGAGCTTTTTTTTCTGAAGGCTGGAGGCCCCGAACTCGGGAGAACTACTTTCCCCTAGCTTCCATGAAACCAGGATGCTTGATGCCAGCGGTCAGGTCGAAGTAGACCAGCTGTCCCGGCTTAGACTGTGAAGGTCTGGTCTCAAATCCTGGTGGGAGCTCGTTGAAGGTGTGTGTCCCCAAAGCTGCCAGCGCAGCATCTGTCCGGTAGATGGACTTCTGCTTAATCTGGTCGCCAATGTAAAATACGACTGTCACGATGTCTTCATTGCCATCGCTTTGAGGCTCCACTTGGCCCACTTGGGCAGCGTACCACTGCCCGACCGATGCAGAGAAGACCTCGACAATGCTCCCTTCCTTCCATTTGTCACATGGTCGGCCTTGCTTTCGGGAGACTGCCTGCGAGGGGACTACCCCGGTGATCCCCAGGCGCTGCGGCAGATCCGAGCAGATGCTTCCCTCTAGCCTCAAACTGGAATCATCCTGCTCCGTTCTGCCGTCCTGGGAAGCCCTGGAAACTACGGCGGGGTAGGGCATTGCCGGCCCCCGGCGACCAAACGAGTCACAGTTGTGCTCTGCCAACCGTTCCTGGGTCAACGATGTTGGGATGTTGTCGACGTCCGTCTTGAATGACGGAATCCTGCGCAGGTCTCCGTTGTTAGAGAAAGTAGAAAATCATTATTACTAACCATCATCACAATAGGATCTTCACGATGACAACGGAAGTAAGAAATGTCCGATGGCCTGTCGGGAAAGCTCGACACCTGGTGCCGATCTCCGTAAGCAGGCGTCTGAGCTAAGGGCCTGCCAGTCTCACGGGTGGACTTGTGAGTTTCAAGCACGTCCGAAGAGTTTGCCACACAACAAACTCGGCAGTCTTTGTGACACACACACACGCACGCAAACTCTCTCGCTCCCACCTCTCTGGTTCCTTCGCGCATCCATCCCCGGCCATGCCCCAATGAGAACCAGACAACCGGAAATTCAGGCTCCAGCAGACATGGTGCTCTTGGAGCCTGGGCTCCTAGCAGCAAAGGATCCCGGGCCTTTCTTCAGGCACAGAAGAGCAGTACGAGCTCAAGGGGTGGCCTCAGCTGCCCAAACAGTGGAAGACAGCAGACATCAGAAAGACGAGGCCTCTGTTTGGTGGGTATTGATTGCCAGGCTCGGGACATATGACGATAGAAAGAATTGCGTTGCTGATCGCAGCACTTGTAACCTCGGGTTGAGAAGATGACGGGCAAAGTCGAGTCCCTGAATCCTGGCTAGCAGTGCGATCGAAGCCACAACTTACAACGCCCCGCCCGACATTAAATTTTGCTTGAGCTCCGGATCATGTCATGGCATGAACATAGAGACGAGGAGGGAGAGAGAGCGAGAGCGAGAGAGAGAGAGAGAGAGAGAGAGAGAGAGAGAGACAGCTAGACAAAGAGAGAGAAAGCGAGAGAGGGAAAGAGACAAAGAGACACGGGGGGAGGGAGGGAGAGAGAGATACACGTACATTATTAAATAATATGAGAAGTCGTATAAGAAAGGTCCCTCTAGGCTACAGGCTCTATCTATTTGTGTGTATATATATACACATATACGCACATACCTATGTAGAAAATGTGTATGTGTATACTATCAAGCTGTATTATGTATGTGTATGTGGCATATATGGATGTTTATATACACATTACATGTATTGTCCTGTGCTGTATTGTATGGTATTGTATGGCAGGGCATGGCATGGCATGGCATGGTGTGGTATGTATGTGTATATATTATATAAATAAAAAAAGAAAATATAGATATGTATAATATACATATCTATATTTTTCTTTTTTATTTATATAATATATAATATATATATATTATATATATACACATTATATATATATATATACATACACAGAGATGTGTACATAGTTATAAATACATGCTTTTGTGGACTTACATGTTCTGGCCGAGCGTCCGTCTCCTCCAAAGCTATTGTGCCGCTGGCTCCGGGTAGACGAGCCAGGTGGTAGAGGTCCCATCAGCAGTGTCCTCAGCTCGAAGAAGATCTTAGAGCCTTAGTAGTAGGACTTAGGGACTTAGGGGCGAGGGGCTGTTTCGGGTTAGGGGCTTTGGGCTTTTGGGGTTTGTGCCTAGGGTTTAGGGCTCAGGGTTTGGGGCCCCTCTGGAAGAGCCTGGGCACTCCGGCTGCCCCCTTCTGGACGAGGAGTTCGATGGCGAAGGGAGGTGCTCGGACTCCCCCGGCCACAATCCGCTTTCTGCCTTCCTTGGCTGGAGTTCGTCTGAGTCACGTAGCCTGTTTGGAGTGGCCTCTCAAAAATCCGTCCTGCAGCTCCGCCCACCCCTAGCCTTGGAAGACTTCTGAAGCCCAGCTTCAGCGATCTCGAGGCCCCACTCGACCCATGCCTCGGCAATCAGATGAACACTAGCACTGCAGAGTCCTCTACACCGGCATCCCATCCCAATGGACGTTTCAGCTAAGGCATGTGGGGTTCCAACACCTGTTGTCACAGCGTCGTCTAAACACACGTGTCGGACGTATCGACTGCTCGGCATTGAGCCCTCTGATCCTTATTATTAGGCGTGCTCGGGGGCCTTCAAATTATGTAACCGAGTAGTTCTTTGTTCACCCATTGTGGATAAACCTTTTGTTGTCTTCTCAATCTTCTCAGATCGACTCAATCCGCGAAGTTCTGCGAGTCCTGCTGCCAGCACGACATTACCCCGGGTGTTGTTTGGCATAATGAACAGCACGGCAGCACCAAGCATGCAAGCCTGACCTGGTCGCCAAGTACTGCTGCTACTCAGCAAAGTGGTGGAATGGATAAACACAGTGGCATGATAAAGGTCATAAGCAGGCATAAACTCATAAACTGAATGCCGACATGATGCCCGCCAGAAAGCGAACGCGCTGCCAGTTCGGATGGCTGGTACCTAACTCTCCGCTGTCCGATGGATTCTTGCCAGTTGGTGGGGAAGTAGTGTGATGCTTCGCTGCTACATCTTTTTGGGCGGTCTATGGTAAGGCCAACAACTCGCACCCTCACATCTGCAATTACAAGTGCTAGCACCAACAGTTTCTAGTTCAGCCTCAGGGCCTGTTCCAGCATTATTTTTGGTTTAGGGTTTGGATAGGGGTACCGATACGATTCAGTGATAGGATTGCCGTCTTCCGCATTTCGGGAGATACGGTTCTGATACGATTCGGATACGATTTCGATAGGGGTGGCGATACGCTTTCGTCCAGAAGCAATACGAATTTAATACGATTTTAATACGGGTTCCAATATGGTTTCCATCACGATTCCGGGTAAAACGCCTTCCGGCACTCGCATCCAAAAGTGCAAAGGACGGAGGGGAAGCGTATCCAAATCGTATCCAAACCCCTATTTTTCCTTGGAAAGGAGCCCAAATTCGGCTTCCGAAGCTCTGAGACAAGGGGCCCCCAAATCGTATCCAAACCCCTATTCCCCTTATTTTTCCTTGGGAAGGAGCCCAAATTCGGCTTGGAGCTCTGAGACACAGGCGGGAGGGGAATCGTATCTTATCCAAACCCCTATTTTTCCTTGGAAAGGAGCTGAAAATCGGCTTCCAAACCTCCAGGCGGGAGGGGAATCGTATCCAAATCGCATCCAAGCCCCCATCCAAACACACCCCCATTCAAACCCCTATCCAAACCCCTATTTATCTCTTGGAAAGGAGCAAAATTGGGACAAGCCCCCCTTCAACCGGGAGGGAATCGTATCCAAATCGTATCCAAACCCCTATTTAGGAACCCAAATTGGGCTTCCGGAGCTCTGAGACAAGGGGCCCCCCCAGGCCAGGCGGGAGGGGAATCGAATCCAAATCGTATCCAAACTAAACCCCTATCCAAACCCTATTCAAGCCCCTATTTTTCCTTGGAAAAGGAGCCCAAATTCGGCTTCCGGAGCTCTGAGACAAGGGGCCCCCCAGGCCAGGCGGGAGGGGAATCGTATCCAAATCGTATCCAAACCCCTATTCAAACCCCATTTTCCAAGCTCTGAGACAAGCGGCACCCCCGGGCGGAAGGGGAATCGCATCCAAATCGTATCCAAACCCCTATTCAACCCGCTATTGGGAGCCGTGTTGGAACTCGTATTAGAACCCCTATTCAAAACGTATCCAAACCCTATCGGTTCCTCTGTCTGAACCGTATCGATGCCATAGCCCGATAGACCGATCCTATCCTCAGATCGTATCCAAATCGTATTGGAACCCTATCTGGAAAATATCACGGGTGGCCATCCCTGAGGCTAACTAGAAACTCTTGGTGCTAGCAACTAGCAAGTGGAGGAACTTGTACGAGTTAGTAGTTGTAATTAGTGAGACTCTCATGTTTCATGCTAGACACATGCAATGAATATTACCATGCAAATATTACCAAGGCCCGAACCCGGTCGGACGCGCGTCCGGGGCAGCCATCGCAGACCTGGCGAGGGCTCGAAGCGCACATGACCATCTGTTGCTGTCGCCCAGATCTGTCAACGAAGGTTCTTACGAATGCATTGCCATGGGGAAGTTGCACGGGACAGCTTTGATCAAGCTTTGAGAAGAAGGAATTTCGGAACCAGCTCAGAAAACGGGGAAGCCATGTGTGCCTGATGGCATCGAGCAGGGCCGCCATAAAAGCCGGCACCTGTGCCCGTTGGCCTAGTGCAAGGCTGAGCCACACGCTGGCAAGACACACGACAAATAAAGTGCAGGAAAACGTTCCTCCAGTGTGAGTCAGTGTGAGTGACATGCCGAACATAGTACAGCGGAGAAACATGCAGCACGTGTCTGACCAGCCCGCGTGCCAGGTGCTGCTCATCATCTTTTTTGGCAAGTGCGAGCGCAAAGCTCTAGGAAAATGGCGGTGAGACACTCTGCTAAAGGCACAAGACATGGGCAAAACCCAAATTCCCCAAAGCTTCTTTCATGATTTCGTTGAAGCCAGGCGGGCCACAGACCTGGGTGATCTCGCAGGATGAGGTGCAGCACTAAAATCGGAACTTCGTTTCCCTGCCTGACATCCGTTAAGCTCAGTTTAACGGATGTCAGGCACTCCGCACACACATGCACACTCACCTCACCTCACCTCAAGCTCTCAACATGCTAGCTTGCAAGCTTGAGCGCCAATCTACGGCATGGCTACACCTACATGAGCCTGAAAACATGAGTATACCCCTCCGAAGCTGCTGCCTTCGACGTCCTGGACCTTACAGAGACTCCGACCCTTGCTGAAGGACCGCTCGCGCTGGAGCACAAGTAAGGCTTGAGACGTGAAAGTAGGTTCCGAAGCTCGCATTTTTCTTCAAGGTCAACCCGCAAAAACGCCCTTCCGTCCTCCTACACGTCGTCGAGTTATTCGTCGAGCTATTTTTTGGCGATGCCTTTTCTGCGTATCCTTGAACCGAAGCCATCCGAAGCCCTCAACCCATACAGGCAACGGCCAACGGAAGTGCTGTGATGATTCTTTTGAAGGCACCAGCGCCAGTGTGTCGACCCCACCCTGGCCCAGCCATTGCTGAAGAACCTCCGCTGCAGCATAGCTTGATTCCACGATGTGGGCCGAAATGTACTTTGCCACAGCGCAAAGGTCCGCTGCACTGAATGCACATCATGTCTATTCTGCACCTTTGAAACTTAGGCCTGAATCAGCCGGAGATTCCTGAAGCATCCGGCCTTTTCATCAATCCTTCCGCGATGGCCTTCTGCAAAGGCATCCGTTCGCGGCTGGCTCACCTAAGAATGCTGGCCAACGGTCTACGCGCTGCCAGCCTAGACCCACCAAGCGCCGCTGGCGCTGTTGAAAACGGAAGCATCTCATGCTCACCTTAACCACCAAGAACTCAAAAACTCTTGAATCAACTGCCCCCGAGATGCTGCCAGGTGCAGGCGGAAGCGATCGGCAAACCTGGCTTCTGAATATTGTGCAAAGTGCACGGAATGTAAGTAAGTACGGTATACCCAATCCGCAGATTTGGGACCGGTGACCACTGCTCAACAACCTTAAACCGTTTTTTGAACCCAGACTCTGCCAATCAGCTTAAACCCTAAACTCCCTAAACCCTAAACCGCTCAACAGGTGGAGAAAACAGGGCCCTTAGCAAAGCGGCTGCTGCGCCAATTGCCGGAGCTCTGGGAGGAAAGCAATCCTCAGCAAGTCGAAGTTCCTAGGATCCTCAGTTTAGGGTTTAGGGCTCTAGGCCTCTAGGGTTCTAGGGTTCTAGGGTTTAGGGTTTAGGGCTTAGGGTTTACAAACCCGATACACCCTGAACCCCCCAAGGCAAGTTGTAGCGGCGCTGTGCCGGTGAGGCTAGGGCTTGGGGTTTATCGGAGAACGAGAACTGAAATCCAATGCAGAATTCAAGCGACTGTACTGCACTATACTGTTTTTGAACATCGTATAGTACACTGTACTATACAGTTTGCTATAATGTAGCAAGATGTACCATACGGGAGTAATATACTGTGGCATTCCATAATAGTCTTAAATGGCCCAGTCTCTCATCCTCGTCGCGAGTTGAGTAGATGACTGTTACCGTGACATCTCTTCCCGCACGGCCTCGCGTTACACATGCTGTGTCCAGCTGGATGGATGCTTCTTTTGTGGCTTGACCACCGCATGTGCATTAGGCCGCACTCAATATTCAAAGCATCCACACATCCTGCCTGAAGCCACCCAGTCCTGGAGTGGGCGTGGAAACTATCGGGGCTCCCGTGCAGAGTCGCTTGCAGCTTGCACGCCACTACGGCGCTAGAGGCGTGCTTTGTTTATTAATGCCTCGGGTTTGGGAGCATCAAGGCAATGAGGCAGAGTCTTCCGGGCGGCAAGTCCTGGAGCGCTTGGATGGCGGGAGTGACACCGCTGCCTGCCACCACGAAAACAATACCTGGATTGTGAGCGAACTCAAGATTTCTACGAATGGCCTGTGAGCTTTACAGCACATACCTTGCAGTCAAATGTGGCAATGTGGCACAGCATGACAACAAATGCAAAGACTGTCTCGAGCATAGCAGTTGAGCAGCTGTTGAATTTCAAGGTCTGCTCCAGCCTGGATCGGATGAGCAGTCTTACATCTCCAGACATGCAGCTCATGGCTTGAAGGGTAGCCGGGATTGTCAATACAAGCGGAAACTAGATCCATCATACCCAGACCCTCGACACTCCGCGCAGTCCGCCCCTGGTGATGTGCACGAGTAGTTGGTCTTGGGCCACGGGCGGGCTCTTCACCAGCCTGGTCAACGTCTTCGCCGACCAGGAGAAAGTGAAATCCTCAGCTCCACAAGAGGCCGGAGCTTTTTAATCAGAGCTGAGATCCTGCCAGCTCTTAAACCTGTATCCATCTCTTCAACTTGTACGTAGATATCGCCATGCCTTCGGTGAAGTAAGCCCGCATGCAGCTGCGTTGCGCCCAGTGGTCCACAAATGTCTACAAGCTGACCAGGTGCCATCCTCAGATCAGCTGAAAGCACAAGATCTTGTGGAGATTCCTCTGCTCTAGGCTCCTCGAAGAGGCATCTCGAAGTTGTCTCATGGTTTGCATTGGCATGGTTTTGTGCACCCTAGATACCTGGCAGATACCCAAAGCGGCGCCGTGACGGAAATTCCTTCAAGCCAACCTCCCAAATCCGACACCGTGGCCAAGCAAGCCACCACTCGCTTAGCTGCAACCCAGACCTCTACTGAAGCTATTGACGACAACTTTCCAAAAGCACTGTGTCACAGCGTGGTCGTTTCCATCAAGCATCTTGGCAAGCCTTGCCGTCAGCATGCCCTCCGGGTAGATCTTCCTGGGCTGCGCAGAAACGCACCAAGAATATATACACATTATACACAAGTTCCACTGGTGCAGCCGAGCAAGATCTTCACAAATGTGTGCTCAGTGATCGGGAAAGCTTAATGTTGAGAACTACTTCGACGAAACTGTTTCTACAGAGCCCGCAATTCTGTGCCATCCGCCATGTGTCAAGATGCCAGACAAGGAATGCCGGTTGTGTTGTCCATGCGTGGGCTTTAACAAAACCAGCTCCATGCACCCTTCACAAAACAGGCCAGGTACCATATGCAATAAGGATGGCGATGGCGTGTGTTTCCTACGGATGTCTCTGCCCAGCTGCACAGCAAGGTCGAAGCTACCCGTCCGGCCCAGAGGCGACACTGGGGTGTACTCCTGATCAGTCGTAAGAAGATGTGACGGGCGTGGTTGCCAAGTTCGGCTCCACACGTGGCGGGTGTCTTGTTCATGGCTGCGTCTCAGGGATGATGTTGCAGGACATGGTGCTGCAATGCTGATGCCGGGCCAAAAAACAGTTGCCATGGTTGTGGGAGCTGCTGTGGTTGAAACAACCTCCCAGAGACACAGCCACCACAAGGAAATAACAGGGATCAATGGTCGAGTTTGCGTGAACCTCGAAGTCAAGGCAGACAAAAAGGATCACAAAGAGCTGAAGGACTTGAGACCCTTTGGAGAGCGAGTGTCGCGCTCCACTGCAGCAGGACCAGTACCATCCATCTTTGGCAGTGGTATGCGCATCCGCACCTGCAACCAGTTCACGAATGCAAGCAGACACTGAGAGCAATGACAAGTGGGTCTTCACAGAAATTGTCGCCTGGACCTATCTGAATCAAGCGCAGTGGCATGCCGTAGCGATGACCAGCCAAGCTGCTGATCCTGCAAGGGCGGACTTGGTAATCATAAGAGTTGCTAAGTGGTTCACGGACAAGTAGTTAAGCGTAATCAGGGCAGATACTCGTGGAAAGCTTCAGCTCCACGCACAGCATGACGCCTATAAGTTGAGGTCTTGGAAGGGGAACCTATGTGTACGATGCCTTTGCTTCAAACCCTTTCACCCACCGCTCCGTGGGCAGCGCGAAGCGGAACAGCCAAACACTGCCCGCAAGCTGCTTTTTGCCTCATCAACGAGGTGCCCAATGCGTTTTCGTGCTCAACCCTATAAACCCATGGTCCAAGCCGGGCTTCTTAAAAGGCGGAAAGGCCGCCACTCGAGTGGATGCAAGCTTTGCAGTGTCGCCGGCTGCGTCAGTAGAGCCGGAGGTGGGGGCATCTTCTGTGCTGACCTGAGCACTGAGGTGTCCAAGCCTCGCTGTTGAAGGAGACTTCGGTTCCAGCGCACGTGAGCACGAGCCAAGCCTGAAGCCGGATGGCCTGAGCAGTGGAATCTGAGCTCCCTGCGCCTTGGCCCGCATCTCAGCTATCACCTTGGCAGGTTTGGAGCAACATAGGCATAGGTTCACAGATCCAAAGTGAGGTGAATTGCTGGAACATCAACAACTCGCGTCTGCGAAGGGGACGGATTGCTTAGAGGGAGAAGGTAGACCAAATCCACCCCTGTATTGGATTCAGTTCTCGAGTCTCCCGCGTGGAGCATGACCTCACTTGGTTGTTTCAACCCTCATCTGCACGCAGAATCTCGCATCAGGTTCTGATTGGCTAGTATTGGCCCCGACCTGTCTCCACTCTTCCCCAAACCCGAAACTCAAAGACCCCCTTTTTGCAGCAAACCCTTCTCCCGAAACCCTGAACCTCAACAGCAGGGCCTGTCACTCCTAATTGCATCCCTCGTTCAACCCTTTTTTAACCCTGAGTCCTACTAAGCCTTAAGGGATTTGGGTTCCGTAACGTTTGGGACGAGATGCCGAAACCCTTTTCCGAGGTTTCGAGCTCCAATGGCTCCAATAGCAGCTACAATATCCGCTGTTTCATATACAGCGCCATATAGCATTAAAAAAGTTATTGCAAATATTATTTTTAACATAGCATAATCAGAAGCAAAGCCCTTGGCTGGCCTGCACAGCCCCTCTCTTGAATAATATATATATATATATACCTATACTATACTCTACTCTACTATGCCATAATTCATACTACAGTATATTCGAGCCCGGCCTCCCCACTGCGCTTGTAACCGGAAGTCCCGGACTTCTCCTGCGTCGGCGAAGTAAGCTAGGGTTTCTTTCCCTTAGATTTGTGCGTGTCATCCTTGCGCAGGGGTTACTCTGTATCGTTCAGATTTTGCGCTAGCTTCAGGGTCTAGGGTTTTAGGGTTTTCCCTCCTACTTAGCAAGGACAAGCCCGCATTGCAGGGTTTTAGGGTCTAGGGTGGACTCGCGCGAGTTTTTAGGGTTTGGAGGGTTCAGGGTTTTCTGAATTGTGCAGGCACGTGTGTGTGTGTGTGCACGCTATCAAGCTGACAGCTAACATCCGGAGTGCAGAGCCGCGGAGTTCATTGCATATCGTTCGCTTCACCTCAAAAGTCTGAAGCGCAACCAACTCGCTCCGGACTTTCGGGGCTCTTGCCATCTGGCGCAAAGGTGCGATCGCCTGCACAACATGAAGGAGGTGCTCTCAAGTCAAGCCCTATATAATCCCTAAACGCAAGGGTCTGGTGTTGATGTTGCAAGGCTCTCCGTTCGGGGAGACAACAGCTAGGCCCTGTGACAGATACTTGCCATACACCTGATGGTCGTGGACATCCCTGAACATGAAGGACCCCAGTGCGATACTGGGGGAGTTTACGTCACTGCCCGGGCCGCGGCTGGACAATGTTGGACATGCCCCCAGGTTTGACATGCACAACCAGTCTACTTCATCGCTTCTCACGACCGCACGACCGGGTCGTATATTCCGAATGCGAAAGCAAGCCAGCATGTCCAACTGGCCAAGCACCATCTCTGTAAATGTGACAACGATTGCGGCCACCTCGCGCCACGTTTTTAGCAGCATTGTCGTTGTAGGCAAATTGATCGCTTTCGAACTTGCCCTCGGTGCTCAGCCGGACCCAAATTCCTTCCGGGCACAGGCAAGCATAGAGGCAAGGCGTGAGACCATGAGAAACAGCAATGAAGACAGATACAATTCAAAAAGTCGTGGTAATATGTATACATACATGTAAGGATTTGTATGACTCATACATACATACATACCTACATACATACCTACTTAACTACCTGCCTGCCCGACGGCCTTCTAGTATCTACGTATGTACATGTGCACCTACGTGCGGCGATGTACGTCTATCTGCCTATCTATACATACACACATACATCCACATGCATGTCAATGCTGTGTGCACAACGCACAGGTACTGTAACTTACCGTGCATCGGTGTGCATACTAAAAAATAGATAGATAGATAGATAGATAGATAGATAGGTATATATATATATGTGTGTGTGTATTATGTGTGTGTATGTGCATGCCCACGTGTCTACGATAATATGCCAATCTTTATGTATCTGTGTGCGTGCGGTGTGGGCAGGAGTGTTGTTTCAACCTCAGACCTCTCCGACAAGCCAGAACGTCCACTTCGCCGAGGCCCTGCAGTATCCTTTCCGAAGCCCAACCAAGATTTGAACCGACCCCCGCCCCCTAAACCCTGTAAGCCCCAGCTCATCCCTGAGCACCTCCTTCTGGAGCAGCACCTTCACGCAACACCACCTCGTGCATCCGCTGCGTGTTGCGAGTGAACTTCCACCCATCAGGGACAAGCTTCCTGGGCATCTCAATCTCGTTTGATTGGGGCTTAAAGGCTCTCCGTTTCCAAGCTATGCTGGCGACGCTGAAGATGGAACTGCTGATGACGATCTTGTTAAAACCTTGTTGAGGTGGTGTGTCATGACTTGTGTGTTTCTTTGTTTACAGTTTTGCCACGTTGATGCCAAGACAAAGAATCCAAACTGCATGAGGCCATCTAGAGAACCGGAGTCATCACGACTGCATCTTGAAGGGGCGCCTTCACTACAAACATCAATTGGCTGGTTTCGACTTAGGATTGGTCTAAGACTCTTCGTTGCAGGATCAAACTTCATGGACTGGTAGGGCTTCGCACCATCTTCCAGTCTCACGTCGTAGTCGTGCCAAGGACAGCGGATGCAAAGGTCCCCGTTCACCTGCAAGTTCAGGTGAGCTCGGTGGACACTGCACCTATGGGATGGTTGCAGGCTTCTTATCACCTGGCGCCTCCTCGATATCACCGATAGCAAGAGGTCCGCCAGTGTGGTAGCAAATGGAGTCGATGCAGTGAAGGGCACCTGTCCGCTTCAGACAGGCTTCCTCTGCACACGGTACAGGTTCTTATGCAGATTTACGCCTCTGCGCAGTCAATGCAGACCTCATTTTTAGCAGATCTGCACCTCGTAGAGACCCTACATCTCAACAACAGCCAGAAATGCTGGATCAAACTCCGGCAGATACAACACCAGCTCGTAATGGAAGCCGATCGCGACCAGCTGGACGACACATCAACTAGGTACGCTCAACCAGAGCTCCTGTGCAAACCTTCGTTAGCAGCCAAAGCTGCCTCATTTCCTGACCCGTCAGAAATGTATCTGGCTGTGCCGGCACAGAAAGTAAGACCTTCGCCTATACCTCAGCTGGTACTAGAGCCGCTTCGAAGCTCTGCAAACTGAGCTGACAACCAATACATGAAGAAAGCAATGGCTCTCGGTCGAAGAACAGAAACACCTTGAAGACTCTAGCATGCAATTACGACACTACAAGTAGTTTTCAAGTCCTGGCCCTCCAAATGTGATGCAACAAGATGCAACCCTGCAAGTTCCAGGCGGCACCTCCGCGCCCCCGAAGAACGGAGACGAAGCGGCCGTGGACCTCCGCATGAAGCCGATCGCCCCGTCGAGGCAGCGCCGTGCCTTCCGTAGAGACACCGAGTCTTGTCGAAAACGGTCATGGCGAAAGAGCGTGCTTAGAAGGAAGACACCTTGTCAATCGTAGGGGAAGCTAGCGCTGCAGAACAAAGGGCAGGGCTCACTGTGGATTCCTAACGACAGGTGCCTGTGGACGAAGGCGGGGTCCGGCATCTTGGCCGGGACATGCACGCAGCAGTACATCAAGATTGATTCCATGTTGGGGCTTCGGGCTGTTGGATGTTCTGAGTTTCGAACCAACTGGCCAGCAAGCGAGTGGACAAAGCCGAACGATTCGATACCAACCCTCCGGCTCTGGACCATCCGAACCGAGAGAAAGGTGTACACGGGTGTAAGACACCGTCAAGGGTATTAAGACCTGCTGGTGAGCTTCAGCTTCTGCAGCCGTGCCACCATCGCCCACTCGAGTCCAGTCTGGCGGCTTGGAAGAGGCAGAAGACCTGGGCCGGCTTCCGCACAGCAATCACCCCCATTGGCCCATCCCCGTGCATAGACACCATTCAGTATATGCCGATGTCTTGCAACAGGCTTTTGGCAGGCCGTTTGTGTGATTCTGAACTTGGCTAGCTTGGAAAGGAAGCAGGTTCTTGTGCAAAAAGTTCTGCCAAGTTACTGAGGGCCCGGTGCACAAGGCAGTGGGACTTCAGGAGCATCAGCCTCTTCGTGTCATGAGCCCGTGCTGTTCAGCCGTCTCCGAACGAGGATTTCGCTACTGTACAGCACTGACGCCAACACACGTGCCGAGACTCCACTGGAGCTCGTCCACTCTGCATCATGTCAGAGGCGCTTGCGCGGCCGATGGCAAGCATGCATTGCGCAGCTCTGTGCTTTTACCACGTCTTGAAACTGGACACTGTCACTCAATCTGCTCTCTTGGCTACGAAGCTTTGAGCCGGTGTGCGACCACAAGCTGGCTCTCTGAAAGGTGATGCTGCCCAAATCAACGGGGCGTAAGGCAGATACGGACCCCGCCCTTTGGATGAAGAATCCCGAGAGCCGACGACCAAAGATAAACCCCATATCAAAGGTCAGGCACTCCAGTGAAGCCTCCCTGTGTTTCTACACCAGTTTTCGGATGCTCGGATGCTCAGCGGAGGGGCTTAACGGGACAAGAGCGCTTTGTTCGTAAGTCAATGGAGGACTCCCCCACAAAGCCTCCGGCTCTCATACGCAGCTACAAGATGTGGTCCTACACTGGAAACCCATTGTGGCTGTTACAGCGTAACATCTTTAGGCATGCGTTGGCCACGCATGAGACGTTTTTGTAGCCTCTGCAGGCAGCCGATGGGCACCTAGACCGGGTTATTAACTCCCAGGAGACATGGCGGGGGTGGAGGAGACCACTCTTGCAGGGTCTCTTCCACAGGTTTGGCACACAAAAAGGGGCTACTGCATCAGCAGCCAGGCATTGAAACAGGGGGCAGTATTCCCAAGATGAAGCAGTCACTGCGGAACTCTCAATAGATGCTCACTATATTGTCACTATGTAATGGCCTTTCTTAGTGACCAGCTGCAAACAGAACAGACCAAAAGCCCAAGCACAGCTGAGATTTGACGAGTGCATGAAAGTACCGCAGGAATGACACCGCAGGAGTAAGATACAATTTTCCAGATGCATGACATCCAGACGTGGCGGACTTCAGACCACGAATTTGGAGTCGGAGCTCCTTCGCCAAAGAATTCGAACCAGCTGGCCTACGGCACATATGGACATGTACTCCACGCATCTTCCCGTACCCTCTCTCAAGACTTAGGAGAGTACTCGCTTACACCTTCGCCTGAACCCTCGAGGATCACATCGGTCAACGTTCCTTGGGCAGGATGGCGCCAAGCTGTCGAGAGGGTAGCATCCAAACGAATCCACGCCGCACGGCTGTGCATATGCCTTGCGGGCGAGACGGAGATGAGGTTTAGACGAGAAGCGCAGAAGTATATCAGCAAGACAAAAATGCAGTGTAGTATCGATGTCATGTTAATCTGTGTCACCTGAGGTGTTTCATCCCGCGCCCTGGCGCTCCAAATAACCCTAAGTAGGTCCTATCGGTCGATCTATCTACCTGGCTATCATTCTACTCGTCTCTACTTTAGACCCGCCAATATGTATTGCGACTGTTTGCAGTCAGAATACCAACTAGCTGCTCCTGTGTTCAGTGTGGCCTGCAAAAATTCGAAGGGAAACGAAGTATCATTCTCAGCCAGGTATTGCTTGAGTACCTGGAGCCTGGAGCAACATACAGGTAAGAAATGAGGAATCGCCTGCTTCACGAAGGTGCAGCCGTTCTTGTGGCATGACTGGTGCGACACTCCCACTCCGCCACCTTGGAGACATCTAGTGGCCGTGAAGCCGGGCTTCAAGTTCCAAGTTCCCGCGGGCTTACTCGTATATATAGCACGGCCCTAAACCCTAAACCCTAAACCGGTTTAGGGTTTAGGGTTCTATGCGAAGTTCCAGATCCGGTCTCAGCATGGCACAGGAGCCCGGCGGCGCAGGCTGCTCGCCAGGAGGCCTCGAGCTCGGGCCATTCTTGGGATTCGTATATGTACTGACACATTTTCCCTCTCGCCCTGCCGAAGCCGCCAGGTAGAGACTAGCCAACTTGTAACGACATATCATGGGTTGTCATGCACTATTCTACATGCTCATATGTGTGTGTGTGTATGTATGTATGTATGTATGTATGTATGTATGTATGTGTGTATGTATGTATGTATGTATGTATGTATGTATGTATGTATTATATATATACACACGCATATATATATATATGTATACAATGTATATATATATAATATACAAACAGAAATACATAGAATATACATATGTATATATATATATATATATATATAATATATATGTACACACATAAACAGATATAATATAGTTACTCCAAATCACCAGGGCGATCCGGCCTCTGCTGCAGCACCGTCAGGCTGCACAGCCTGTCGATGCTGGCACTGCGCAGTCAGGCAGATTTAGGGTTTAGGGCTTAGGGTTTAGGGTTTAGGGGAAGCCGCACAGACCCGTATTAGCAATATATATCCACATTAATTAGGCTTGCATTTTATTAGTGTTGTATTCGTATTGTACTATAGTTGCTAGTTTAGTAGTATATTAGTTACCCTAACCCATGAGCCCTAAACCCAGCCACATGTGACGGGACCCGATCTGTTGCCGTCGAGATCTCTGAAGACCTTGGGGAAGCCCCTGCTTTGGCACTTACCCCAAGGCCACGACTTGTAATGCAGGGGCCTTAATAGTTAGAGTAGGGCTTGTGGCTGCCTTATACCATAAACTATAACGCTCCGAAGCCCTGTTCATGCGAGCGCGCGGCAGGAGGCAAGTGTTTTGTGTTGTAAACACCACGAAAAACACAACATTTTTGTTGACTTATCTGGATGTGGAGATCACGCGTTTTCTGCATCAAAACGCGTTGAAACTCAAAAAATGGCTACGGCTCAGTGCACCGGCATATTCGAGCCCTGAAATCAGAAAGCCCTGGAAACACCGAGGTGGAAGGCTCCTAAAACATAGTGCCAAGTGCGCGTGTACAAGTCTTCGGAAGGTCTAACAAGAAGCCCCCTAAGGAATAATATTGGTAAATACCCTATGCTTCCAGGGACCTAATTATTGGGTCCTTAAGGGGTCTAGGGCCCTAACTTTTTGGTCCTTGGAAGCATAGGGTAATATAAGGCTTTCATAGTACAGGAGCACAGAGCACTGGACAAAAAGCTGTAGACCCCAAACTGTCCTGAACACTAGACCCTGAACCAACTTCAAACCTCGCAGACCCTGGCCCCAACCATACATAAACCCTATAGGCCCAAAACCCTTCCCTTTTTAGGAGCCCTAAAGCCTAAACCCTAGCTCCAAAACGCTTACCTTCTTTTAGGAGCCCAGAGCCCTAAACCCTAGGCCCAAAGCCCTTACCTTCTTTTCGGAGCCCCGAACCCTAAACCCTAAACATTAGGCCCAAAACCGTTACCTTCTTTTAGGGGCCCCATAGAAGGAACCCTCTTCTCGTAGCCCTTCGCACGTCTTTGTTTGCTCCTTTTTCTTCGGATCCGCACTTTGTGCAAGCGCAGTGGAAGCCGAAGGCCTGAAGGTCAAGTCTGCCAGGATATAAGGATTTCTTTAGGGTTTAGGGTTCAGGGGTTAGGGGTTAAGGGGTTTATGGGGGTTCAGGGGCTTAGGGGTTTTGGGTGTTTTGGGTTCTTTAAGGGGCTACCTTAAGTCAATAAGGCTGTAAAGGGGCTCTTCTAGGATTCCAGGCTTCCTTTCAGGGCTTCTGCACGGCTTCTTATCTGCAGGGGTCACAAAGGGCTTCATTTCAGGTCTCTATATGGGCTCTGCAAAAGCCTCTGTGAGGGTTCATCTGTTAGTGGGGGTTGTGGCGCATCATGTGAGTTCTTGCCCTAAAGGAATGAGGATGTAGAATTTGTCGACGGGTTGACCACAGAGGGTGAAAGACTCTTGGGTAGGTAAAGGGGCACTCTTTACGCAGAGATGTCACCATGAACTCTCTACGTTCTTGGCCGCGTGAGCGTGAGCCCACCGATCGCTGCCTTTCGAAGGCGCTGCTGGCGTGCCTACCGAGAGACACTTCTCGGATTCAGGATTTCATGGGCCTGTGCACGGGACTGCCACATCTACGGCAAGACAAAAGCACAAGCTCAACGGTGACTCGTTTCCAAGCTCCACAAGCAGCATGCCAGTCGGGTTGTTGGCAGAATGCATGCGGAACAGCCAGAATGCCGGTGCCTCTCGGTTGCCAGTGATCGACAAGTACGCGATTGTGAGCTCCTTCCAGTCTGGTAAACAAGGCACGTGCCATCATGTGCTTGGCTGAAACCTCTGCTCCAACTTGCTGCCAGTGGCCCCGGGATCTATACAGTAAAGCTCCTTCTCGTAAACCCCTAATTAAACCCTAAACCCTAGACTCTAGACCCTAAGCCCCAGACCCGAAAGACCCTAAACCCTAGACCCC